ATCATCATCATCATCATCATCATTACTTTTCCAATCAGGCTTTTCAGGATCAATTATTTTAAACAACATAGAGTTACGCTATTTTACACTCTTCATCTGTCAGCCCTGTAATCTTGTCTGAAGCCAGCACTTGCCAATCAGTGTCAGTTTGCACTGCTAGGTACGATAAAGCAGCATGAACTAGTCCTAATTGCTAAAATCTACACACTAACATGTGTTGGCTGGGGGTTTCAGCTTGTAGTACCATTCAGGGTTGGACTTGTAACTTAACCTCTTATGGGTTGTTGTCCACAGATTGTAGCTTGCAGTGCTGTTTAGAGCTAGGCTAGAAAGCTTTCAAGACCTTGCTAAAATTTGTCCAATCCAGCATAGATCCTTATGCTGGGAGAAAAGAAAGGTTTTATGGTAAGGTAATGGAAGTCCCCGTCAAACTGAGTGGTGTCAAACTGTCGTGTTTGTCTATGACAATACCGACACAAACTACTTAAGATCATTAAACAAACTTTCAGGAACACAACTTATAGCAATAAAGCAACAATATTTCACTTGACCATGCAATATCAATAATTTCGATGGCATTGAAAATGGCAGAAGCTGACTAGTGTCCCTTAACTGAGGATTTGATGTAGTCTCAACAGTAAAATCCTTATTATATTCCAACTTGCCTGGTGTAATAGCCTCTCCATACACGTTGAATTTCAATAGCTGCAGCAATCTTCACATCCTGATCACTTGTCCCTTGTTCAATTGTTTTCTGATTGACAATACAAATTATAATGTAAAGGACATTATACATAATGGTATTTACAATATCCATTTATCCAAATAAAATGATAAATTTCCTTGTTGAAGTGTGGGTAAAGATCTCTAAATCAGTCAATTTAAATAGACAATATATTTTGTTCAGACTATTGTCAAAACCTTGAATACCATAAATCCTGAAATTTGCACCTCCCCTCAAATAAGCACCCCCTTCAAATAAGTGCCCCTCCTGTCAGCCAAAGTTTGAAATAAGCAACTCCCCTCGAAAAAGCGCTTCCCTCCCCTTCCCCTGTTTTATGGAAGGGTACTGAGACAACAAGTGATGTATAGTTTTGGTCATGTTAAATCACAAGCAAGTGATTATCGGCTGATTCAAGTACTGCAAATCAACTGTTGCAATGGATGGTAGTGTAGATCTGCTGATTCACTGCCTAAAGCCCAACCAACCTTGTGCAGCAGGCCTAGACCGGCTAAAGGGGTTATATTACGTAGTCTTCAAAGAGAGACAGGATCTTTCTGAGACTTCTGTGGGATTGACACATGTATACATTTACAAAAAAACAGTCATATCTGACCAGGATTTGGGAAAAATTAAATAAGCACCCCCCTTCAATTGAGCACCTCTCTCACATTAGCGCCCCCGTCTTCTACTAAATTTGAGATAAGGGCCCCAGGTACTAATTTGGGGATAAATTTATGGTAGTCAGTTTCACAAAAACTCAGAAAAATGAGTAATCAGTTACAGTCTGGATACTTAGGAATACATGTATGGACATAAACAAACCCCAGCTTGAGTAATAGATCACAAAAAGAGTCCAGGAAATCAACACAAATTAGCAATACATGTAGTTCTGTATTAATTTTGAGGAAGAAAATCATTCAGTAAGTAACCTGGTATATTTATCTAAAATCATATTGGCTTGTGGCCCAAGGTTAAAATGTTATGCACTCACATATTCCTCCTAGATCTTAGGACAGAGAGGTAGGTAACGAAATTATACACAGGTAGCACAGGTGTCAAATCAATCACAGGAATCCAATTAATTGGACAGCTCATATTAGATAGCCATTTCATTATGCTCTGATTACAGCACTAATCAAAACTATAACAAAATTCTCGAACGTGATTGGCTATCAGCAGCCCGATTTGAGTATTAATTGGACAGTGTATGCATCATGCTTGTAATTGGACAGTAGGTGTCATTTTGCGTGTGCTGTTGTGGTGCACTTTGTTGAGTAAACTGCTGTGTTTTTCAGCATTCATAACAACGTTTAATCGTTCAGCGATCAATTGATGGTTTGTTCGTTTCTTGAATTTTGTCATAGTTTTGATTAATTGGTAACAGAACATCGTGTTGTCCAATTCAGTCTGTAATCATACTTGTGATTAACAAATCGGACTCCTGCTTCGCGGTCGTCCGATTTTGTTAATCATTTGTATGATTACAGACCGAATTGGACTCCACTCAGTCCTATTACCATTATAAATACGTCTGCATAAAACCAATCAGCTACATGCATGAGCAAGAATTTTGTTGTCAGATAATTATTAGAGATTTGACTTATTATCCCTTTCTGCGTACAAACAGCAGGCATGTTGATGTAGTAGTGCAAAAGTCATGTAGTCATTTCTTGCCTTTTTAATGTCATCAAGAGTTTTTTTTGTAAAGACTCTGTAAAGGACCCGTGTCAGACATCTTCCCAGTACTCAAGTCATTAGAACTTTTACCTCAGTAAGATATATATAAGCTTTTATAAAAAAGCTTAAGCTTACTGTGTCGTTCTCCAGGACTCCAATGCAAAGCAATCATTTCAAACCTGACTGATGAACTTACCCGTCTCTCCGCTTTAATGGCGAGAGCAAACTTTAGGTCTTTAACTGCAGATCCTGCAATGAAATAGTTCAAGTTGCTTAAAACCAAGTTTCAACGACCGTTTCTAGGCTGGCAAAAACGATGTAAGTCTTGTTGCTGTGACTCCTTACACCACAACATTAATATTCTTTCATAATTTATTAAGCAACTAACGGCGTATTATATGTAAATTGAGAAGAAGTTACGCATGATAATCGGCATGACACAAACAAATCGTTTTCATGCTCACCTGGTAAATCAACATTGTCAAGGATTCGGCGGACCTCTTCGTGCCTCAGCTTTGTAAACATGGCGTATTTCCAATACTTTACTGACTCTAACTAAGCATGTTTAGGTATTATTTTCAGTGTTTACAGGTCATCCTTCTCTAATTTGCCACCAAAAGTAGTCAAATTCAACGCAAATAATCGATTTCCAGACGTAGCAACAGGATAACCGCTGGTTAATGCTTTTACATATAATATGGACGACAGAAACAGACTATGTAGGGTAGGGTGAGTGTGTTCTAACACTATTAAAGAAAAATACTATTATCGAAGGATTACTACACTTCATTGATGTTAGAAATGGCTACAGAACGATGTATATTTATGTTAAGTATAAATACGGACCTTGGCGAAATGAATTATCAATAGAAACTCCCTAGCTGCACTCCCCAACCCCTCCACCCTCCCCAGAGGCAATTGTCACACAGTCCGTTCAGTGTAGGAAGAAATTGAAAGGACAGTTTACTATTGGATAGGCTGTACGACGACTTCTTTCTTCATGAACACGTTTTTGGTAGGATCCTGTTTATAGTTATTTAGTTATTACAGAAGTACTTTAAGCCTGAATTTTACCCCTTCAAGCGGGAGTATAGGACCAAAGATGTTCTTTGAAATTCAGCGCATATTAATGAAAGGAACTGTAGTCTAGGAATATCTTACTTTCGGCGTATACAGTCCAACCTCCGGTTGCGACCACCTCTCCTCAGCGACCAGTTTTCTAAAATACCAAAGGTTTCCAAGTCAAATCGCTATATTTGGAACCTCTTGTAAGCGACCACCTCTCGTATGCGACCGCGACTACTTTAAGAGCAAAAAGTTTGAAATTTCCTTTGTTTTTAACCTCCCATAAGCTACCACTTGACAGATAATAGAGCGGAAATTGGATAATAAGGTGTTGTGATATTATCCCATTCCTGGGTTTTACAAGAGACGGAAATGTCTCAATGGGAATTACAGGATTGTTTTCTTCAAATTGACTTTTCACATGAATAAAACATATAAAACACGGGGTAAGTCTATGCAGTTACCAGATGTTAATGAAGCAAATTTTTTACCCAATGTGGTCTAAGCTCTAGTAAGACTGTATAAGCTTCCCGTTTTTGGTTTTATGGAATTCAACTTTCTGTTTCGCAAACATGTAATATGCATGAATACACGGCCGGGTATATCATTTTCCTTGTTGCTGCACATGTCCGGGGAAGGGGAGAGGGGAGTGTAGGGCGAGGGCAAGGGTGGTGGAGCGAGTTGCTTCGTTCCTCATTAACACCCTTAACCCTGTTTCTGATCAAATGCATGATATCATTTTCCATTCCAGATCCAATATCTGTAAAAAATTCAACTCAATTTCAGCCGCAAACCCAATGGCTTCTCCTGGTTACTTTTTGTAACCCAATGTGGACACATTTTTCATTTAGAGGATCATGTCTGGCCATTTGGTTTGCTGAATTTGTGTCACGGTCTCCCCCTTCCCATACAGTAGTCTACATTCAGTTATAAGGTCTAGCTTAGCACTCTAATTTTCAAGCATTCAAATTTTTCTAAGATAATAAACTAATTACTTTTTAGCACACTAACAACCATGCAATGAGTGCCAAGCAACAAATTAAGAGGGGAACTCCCGAGACCAATGATTTGTTGAATATTTGTACTGAAATGAGATCCAGATGGCAAATGCTGGCAAAAGTGTTAGGATTTCGTGAACTGGAGCTGGAGCAGATTACAGAAGATCATGCAGACACCTTTGAACGGTGCTATCAAATGCTTTTGAGATGGACACAAAAGTGTGGATCACAAGCTAGTTATGACATGCTGGCAAGAGCCTTACAACACCCCCAGGTGAACCGACAAGATCTCGCCCTTCAATATTGTTACGAGCTGTAAAAAGATGCCATTGCACTTAACAGTGGATTCGCTGCATGGCTTTGAAAACAGCTGCCGTTTCAAAATATTACTGCAGTCGAACACCTTCCAGCTAATAGTGCCTTTCACAGACAAATACTACATTTTTGACAGCTTTAATGTATTAACTGCAGAAAAACTACATGTAATTGTAAATGATAGCCAGTCAGGGTCTCTTTAATATTTATTCAAAATTCTTTGCTTTTCACACTCTTCTCAAGATAATAAATAAAATGTTTTTCTAGTTTACATAAAAACACACTGGTTAGAACTTTTTCTTGTGCTTTCCATACACCCTCATTCTATTTACAAGCTGTCTAGTGGAAAACCAGTGACAAAAAATATCAGTATCTTTTTACAGAATATAGAAGTGATTATAACTTACTTTAAGAAATGCAAGGTGGCTGATCCAAGGCACAACAGACATTTCTACATACATTTATCTCTTACTGATTAAAATGGACCATTACTAAGCCCTCATCAGTGGTGGGTCCCAAAAAAGTGGGGTTCCGAATTGAAAAGAGCCCTTTTTGGACCATTTGTTGATAGCCGCTCCCTAGATCAACCACTGACACAAGAATTTATTAATAGTTTTACACATAGCACCTTGTACACAAAAAATATGTACAAATATTGTTCAATGCCTTTGAAAGGAAAATCTACATAAGCCGAGAATGAACAGTATATGATTATGTTACAATAGCACCTTGCTGCACAATGTAGGGTTGCCTGATAATATTTATGGTAAGGAACGCCAGAAAAAAAAAAGCATTAATGGGATACCCATACAATGTACTATAAGAAGACATGACTGATCATTGCCACAGTTATATACATAACTTACGTAGTTGTGAAATCAAAAGCCTGAGAAATGTTCAGGCTTGAACGGAATTCAAACCCGTGACCTCTGCAATACCGGAGCAATGCTCTACCAAATGAGTTATCAAGCCAACTGGGAGCTGGTCATGTTGTGAGTTTGCAATATACCTGTAGATGGTGAAGATACAAGTGGATCTATTCACTTGTACAATGTAACTACTATGGTAAGCTTGTCAAAATATATTTCTTCAACCAAAATTATGTCAACAAAATACTGTGTTGGAAACAGCCCTTCTGCCAGGGAATGTGCAATAGGGGTACATGGGTGAGAGGCAATAGAATTTTTTTAACAATACGTACAGAGATTATGATTAGAGGGCTTTGAAGTCCTTGCTTATTAAACATTGCCCCATGGGTTAAAACAGCTTTTTCTTGCTGCTTTGTATGAAGCTAAAATCTGAGTGACTTGCAGGGTGCATTTCAAGGTTATCAATGTTAAAAGCGATATGAATAAATATATTGAATAAGTGTTGATTCCTTGTAAGATCTGCATTCCTCACTCGACTGCATAGCCAAATCAGCTCTGAAATGTGCCTTGTATATGTATGTTCTTCTCTCATGAGAATGACACAGACGTGTGCTTGTTAGCTGGGAGATTCTAATGGCACAAGATCTGTGTGGTGTGACTTGACTCGTTGAAGTAGATGCTGGCCAACAGGAACAAATTGTCCTTCCCACATGTCTCTTAACACTTCTGGAAGGCTTGACTCCATAGACTCCAATTCACTTGGATCAAGAGCTATGTCTTCATCTGAAACAGAATTCAGCAGCATTAGAATGACCTTAGGGTACAACAATAAAAAATATATATTTAATTAATCTTATTTTCTTTCATGAATGACGGTGAGACAATAAAAATTACAAACCTGTATTACCTGGTAGAGTCACTGTTTTCCTCTGGCCACTTAAAATTTGGCACAAATCAAAGTTTTTATTTGCCTTTTTTTTCTCAAGATGTGATAGATCTGAAGAAAGTTAGTTTTTAGTCGTTTATCAAAGTCTTTGTGCATTGAGTTTTCGTCTCTCTACAAGTAGGCCACCTCTGAATGCATTTGAATGGCTGGCTAGATAGTCACTTATAGTAATACATATTCAAAACCAAAAAAGTGGCAATTATTTCTAAAAAAGTGTTCAAGAATATTTGTATACTATTATACTATGAAAACAATCCATTTGCCCTACCCAGGTATTGTGTAAGAACATCCATCAACTCTAATGTTTCTTGATCACCAAAGGTTTCTGAAGAGCTGGTTATCTTATCACTGCAAATTGACAAGTCATTATTCATTATTTATTGTGTAAGAACATCCATCAACTCTAATGTTTCTTGATCACCAAAGGCTTCTGAAGACCTGGTTATCTTACTGCGAATTGACAAGTCATTATTCAAATGTATGGTCATTACTGAAAGCACACAAACAAACAAACAACAGTTGCATAAATTTACAGTAATAGCCAAAGTGCTACTAATTATTGTGAAACTCAGAAAACCATCAGCACCAGAAATATTTATGGAATATTATTCTGTAGCAAGGAAAAAGCAACTTAGGTGTGAGAAAACGTCTAAACAGCAAACGGCAACGGTAGTTAGTTGTGGTCTTGAGGTTTGTTCCCACGTCCTAAACTTTATTGTGATTGGTCGGTACACAATTGACTAGACAGAATCAAATCAAAGTGTTCACAGTTTTCTGAGTATCACAGTAAAACAGAGATGAAATATAATAATTATTCCAATTTGGGAGCAAACTGATTTATCTGCAAAATGCATACTACATGTACCCCTATGATACTCTTGTACAAACATGGAATTGCAAAATAAAATAAAATCTCATATGAGTAAACAACACACCTATAGTTCCACAGGATCTGGCAGACCATACTGGACAGCTGCCAATCATGTTTTCCAAAGTCACGCAACACATCTACCAGTCTACAAGGAAAAACAATTGCATTCTAGTAAGAGGAAATTCCAAAAATAATGATCAATGTTCATTTAGTAAAAATACTGTAAATCAGAAAAACAAACTACAGTGTTAAGCAGCCACAATCCAGACATAACTTACTTTTTAATTCCATCCTCTTCTTTTAACTTTGGTTTGATGTGTTCATCTATCATTAGGTTGATAAGTACACCACATGCTATAAACACAGTTTCTCTCTCACCAGCATCCAACAATGCAATCATGATCTCGTCAACTAAACAGGCAAACAATACAGAATCTGAGAAAGTTTCTAGGATTTTAAATTGCCAATTATTTTTTATCACTTAATGTTGTGACAATTCTGAGGAAACACAGGAAGTTAGATAGTTCCTGTGTTTCCCATAATTATATCAGCAATGAGAGAAAGTGTTTCATCACAAACAATCCAAACAATAAGACCTGAATTAAAAATATGATGCACTGGGGAGTGTTTGGATGAACTTTGATTTGTTAGAAGTACGATGAGACACTGTCTAGACTGTCTAGAGGGTCTGAGATATCTTCTCAATCAAAACTAACAAAAAAAAAAAAATCATGAAAATCTATGCTAGTTAAGATCACATTTCCAAACATCATTACAGTTTGTGAAGTAACATATACACAAAAAAGACGGCGTATGACCACATTTCCAAACACCAAGAAAGTTGAAAATACAATGTGCATTTGACTACTTTTGATGAACTTCAAGGTGTTTGGAAATACGGTCAAACACTGTGTCAAGTGTTTAAGATATCTTCTCAATGGATGCTATTAAGGTGATTCCTCACATTTGCATTGTGCATCCTTACTGCACATAATTTATGGCGTTACTAGGGCCCCCTCATGCACGCACACATTGAAAACATAGTGGATTTGTCTTGATAATGAGTTCTGTCAGTTAAAAAATGGATATAGCTCACTAATGAGCTCGGGCACCCCAAGTTTTTTTCCAGTCGTTGTAATCAACTAATCGTTAGCTTTGCGCGAGAAAAGACTGATCTGATTTCTATTGCTGAAAATTGAAGAAATAAGGAAAATAGCAGCTGCACTGTTTGATAACCGTGGCAAGCAATTTGGTTCCAATATTTTAACAAGGGTTCAGCTGTCTGTAAAAATCAAACTTAAAAGGTTTATTTGTATCCAACAAAAGTATTGACTATAGTTTGAGGCATGTTTTCATGAGTCTGGGCTCACAAAGATTTTACAATAACTTGGAATAAGCATTAAATAATGCCAAAATGGGACATTTTCAATGCCTCACTGCTCCTTAACGAGCATGGGCACCCCCCCTTTTTATTTTATAATTTAAGTTCTCATATGATAAATATTCAGTGGACAAACAAAAATTTATTGACAGTTTTATTTCAGGGGAATTACCTTAAGCTATGGAGAAAAGAGAGAAATAAAACTGTAACTACATTGTATGCTAATTAAGATCAGAAATCCAAACAGCGTCACTTTCAGAAGCATTGAGCATATTAATACTCTCCAGTTTGTTGTGACATCCAAAAATTTTGCTAAAAACTTGGACGTTAATAAATGATTGGAAAAAGATGCTTTGATTTGCTTACTCATGCAGTTTAGTGTTATATATTAATATTAATAGTGATCTTTTAATTTACATAAGTACAATTCCCGCATTTGAGACGAAAAATGTTTTAACTTATGATGATGTGGCTCAGAAGAGAACCATGTACACCATACTCTGAAACCTTTTACCTTTGTGTTCAGCCAGTAAAGCTCTCACTTCTTTGGATCTTGAAAAGTTTCCAAAGACACGGCAGGCTTCCACCATTGCATCCATGTTCTCTGGCATTAGCAAGGAAATTAGCACTGCAACAGGATTTGCCAGAAACATGCTGTTAGTGGTACCCTGGTATCTAATTGTGCTTTTAAGTGAAGGTGCTCTTTTATACAACCTACTCCAGCCTCAGCTGATAAAATAAGTTTCTTTATCATGATTCCCCTTGGATAGACAAACTCCCCTTCAGGATGTATTAACAATTACTCCTTTTTTTGCTTCACAATAAAGAATTGGGCTTCAAGAATCAAAAGTGTTGGCCACTTGGTTTGTGACTTGAACCTATGACAATAGCAAGGTCAAATAAACTTACTCTCAGTAATCTCGACTTGTCTTTGTTGTACAACACTATCAACATCATTGTAAAATGACAGGTTATTAAGAGTGGCAACTGTGTTCAGGACAAGCTCTTCACTGTGAGTTGCATCTTTCACATCTGCAATGATCCACGCACACAAAAAGGAACTTGCTTTTAGTGCTCACAAACGATCTGTCACATTCCAAACGTGATCAACATCACATCTCTAGTAAAGTACTGGACAGGTGCATTGTTAGTTGTGGAGCCATGGGGGCATAATGGCTGGACTTTGGTTTGAGCAGACGGAGTGCAAGTCCTAGTCAGGGTCATTACATTGTGTTCTTGGACAAGGCACTTTACTCTCCCATGACCTCTCTGTGTGTAAATGAGTTCTGGTGAATTTAATGCTGGGGATAACCCTGTGATAAACTAGCATCCCATCCAGGCAGGAGAGGAAATACTCCTAAATCCCTCCTGGTCTTTAAATGCCATGGAAACTGGTGTAAGCTCTAGCAGTATCGACCTCTTGCCCCGACAAAGACTTTACAGAATGTCTTGTTCTATGACTCTAAATTTGAGTACAAGTACTAGTAATATTTTTCCAAAGCTTGTGAATACTGTAAATGTACATTTGCACCCAGTTTATTGAATTGATAAAAATGCACTGGAAGTACAGTCCCATTGTTTTAGTTGCAAACAAAAGAAGGGAAGGGGAGTTATTAAAAGAGAGGGGGCCTTAATAATTTCTTGTTTCAGAAATAGGGAGTGTGGTATTTGACAAGGGGACCTAAATTTCAATTTGGCAACTATTAGTTAAAAGGAAAGTATGAATAATGGCATAGAAGGTATTTGATATTTCAAGCTTAGAAAAAGGGTTTTTATATAAAGTTTAATAACATACCAAGAATCTGGATTAACAGATCAACTAATGCTTCATTAGCCGCAAGACCTGCACCAGCTTCTGGACTGATTGAAAGGTTGGCAACTACTCTGATGGCCTGAAAGTTACCAATAGTGACACCAGTAATCATAACAAATTTACCATGAGGAAACAGCCATTTCCATCTCCCTTAAAATAAATGAGTTATCTGATGACTTAGTACTAGAGAGATCATTGCAGTGTCCATAACTTATTGTTAGTCAGAAGAAAATGACTGAGCAGAATGTCGTAATATAAACAACCACTTTATAAAAACACTGTGAAACAAAACAAACTCATATGTTCTGCCATTACTTCTCTCCAATCTTTATTTACTGCTTGGTCATTCCACACTATAACTTAAGGGACTGAGCACTCATTGTATAGAATTAAATTACCTGAATGTCTAACTCTAAATGAACCTATACACTCTTAAATAATACTTACTTTGATAAGGACATCTTCATTCTTGTTAGGTCCTTTCTTTTCGCCATTCACTTGTTTCTCTTCAGATAAGGGTCCATTTTTCAGCACCTTCAACCACAATAAATGCACTAAATGAACCACTGTTGATCTAAGGCTTTTATTTGCCTTTTCAAACTAGAGGGGTTTTTAATTGAGTGTCCCCAGTAATTTGACAATTACTTTGTTTTGGTTTTGGTTTTACTATGGTTTGAGACTGGCTGAGTAGTCTAATTGATAAGTAACTGGTTTGGTTTTGGTTTAACGACACTCAATTGAAAACCACTCTACAGATTATGGTGCTAATGGTATCTACATTGTATAGCATGCCTATTTGTCACGTGATTGGCACACGATCACATGGGTGTCCAATTTTGAAAACTGCTATTATTAAAATTATTCCTGATGACCTGTAAAATACAATACCTACTGGAAGCTTTAGCAGTTGCTGTCGTATTGACAGCACTACATTAAGATGCATTCTAAGAAAGTTAGTGGTAAAAGTCTGTCTTGTTTTGTTTAATTAGATCCAGAAGCAAATTGCCAAACCTCCAACTCTGTATTGAAGTATGACTGCATAACAGATAGTAAGACTGCCATGAAAGACTCATCAAAGAAAATCGTTTCCCTGACTTTTTCACTTTTAGATGTTAAGTTCCCCAAAATGAAGCAGACACGGACCACCAACTCCTGCAATATGAACAGGCAAAAGATTCAAAAGTAACCAAGGCTGTGGTCTAATTAAAATTATGAGGAGCCCAAAGGTTGCTGACCATGAAATCCTGAGTGCCCTGGTGATTTTTTTCCAGTCACCCAAAGGCAAAAGTTAGTAGCCTGTGGCACCCAGGCTCTTCTAGAGCACAGCCCTGGTAACAATACATTTTAATACTATTATCCAGCAGCTAAATACCATGGACAAAACTTCAAATTTGGATAATGGAGAAAATATTGGGGTCACTATTGCTGTCAAAGACAATGCCTATAATGGAGTTGTATGAAACATTGTTACACACCATTAATTAGAAAAAAGCCCAAAGAAAATAAGGTGCTCTGATTGGTCAAAAATTTTGTTTCCATGGCTCAATAGAAATACATAACTAGCACTTGAGCTGTTGTCATAATGATGGTGTTTCTACTAGTGGAAGTTTGGGAGAACTCGAAAAAGCTGTGGAAACACTCGCCTGTCAGCTCGTGTTCCCACAGCATTTCTCGTTGTCCCAAACTTCCACTCGTGTTTCTATAACTTGACAGAAACATGGCACATGTGTTCTATTTCTTAAATGTAGAAACCATGTCAAGCTGATCTCAGTAGCCTTAAAAATTTATTCCACTGACTTAACATGTTATATCTAAATAAAAAATTAATAGCGAGTTCCCCATGTGCAAAAGTGATCTTACTGCCACTCAGAATAACAAAGAAGCTTCAACCATGTCTTGTACACACCTGTTTCTTTTCGTACCCTGACAATATCTTGCTCAGTGCCTGAAGCCAAGTACAGGTGTCACTGTCTAACAGTTCACCGCAGCATTCTGTGTACAATGTAAGTTTGCTATGGTAGAGCAAAATGAATAGAACAGTTAATGTTACTACACTGAAAATAAGACTGTTTGTGGACTGCCCCATCTCCTAAGACCTGATGACTTTATTCCCAAAAATTACAAAATCAACCTTAGCACAAATCTCCATAGTGATCTCCAAGCAGGGCTTTCATTAAGGGCTGTAACCGGTAACACCTGCTATGGCCGAGTGTGCTTGATCAGCCCTTGATGTTACAGGTGAACTTGCCTGTTGTGAATCAAAACTTAATGACAGCCCTGCCAAGTGTACCTTACGTGGGTCTCTCAGATGAATCAATCTCTGTGGCATGTAAGGCAAGGCCTGCCCTTGGCCACCATACCTACAGGCAGCCATGTACTGTTATGTCAGTCACCAGACAAGATCACAGCCCACCTCCCCTCCTCCTCCCAACTTGCACCCAGAATGTTTTCAACAGCAGAATATTGGATGTGGACATAAACCGATGGTACCCTTAATTTTGTTTATTTATGAGTTGACCAGCATGTCACAATAACCTCACCTCAATGCTCGGCAAACGTTCCAAACTACGTCACCGTCAGATGAATATGGCCCCAGAACTATGGCCAAGTTCCTAACTACTCCAGTGCTGACAAACAGTTCTCTGGCTCCAGTAACATCCGCAAGATTTCTCAGTGCCCCCGTTACCTGCAATTAGTGTAGAAGCTGTGAACTTTCACAATGTTTCTCGATCAAGAACTTTTGCATTAGTTAGGAATATATAGTAAATTTGTACCTGAACAAGGAGACTGGTGAACTGTGAATTCCCCTTCATGGACATCAATACCTAACACAACAAAAAATAATAAAGTCAGAGTAAAAGGCATGTCTTTACAAATACTGACTATTAATCAAAGAAAGATAGTATTAGAAATTTGAATAAATCTGCTAGTATTCTATCACAAATGTTGATTCTCTTATTGGCTATATTACTCACTATCTATTCTGTTGTAGACAGTGAGTAGCCTAGCAGTGTGAAGTTGTTTTTAACAAAATGGAGGCTTCTTCTTTGCATTTTTGAAGTGACTAAGGAGAGGGTTTAGATAAAGTTTAGAAAGACTAGTAGATTTATGGCAAATTTATACCATCTTTCGTGGAATTTGTCGGCTGTTCATGAACACTGCCACGGGACATTCAATATATTCTTTCAAAACAAAAGTTCTTGCCACGGAAAGCAACATGTTCAAACATTGCCTAAGGGAGACAATTGAGATCTGATTACGAAAGCCCTCTTTGAACAAAGACAATGACTTCGAATTAGCCAACATCTATGAAACCATTTTAGCCCTCTCAAGACCATAATGAAATCATACAACCCTCCTTAACATTCAAAATGTTTACTGTGGCTGATGAAGTTCAGTGGAACCAAACAAAATATCCAACTTTTAATAAAATATTTAATTGCACTCTGAGTACAGAAAATTTATTTTTTTATACTTTAAAGGCAATAATTGTCATTCTTGACACCTCGTACTTTTCCAGAAAAAAAAATTAAAAATCTCCAACACTTTTCAATCACTAAATTATTTCCAATTTGATTACTGTACTTACATCTTTACTAATTGCATCAAGAATCTGTGCTAAACCCTCGATACCCTGAAGAGAAACCAACTCTTTTTGAGCTGTAGGATTGTTACTTGAGAGATGTTTTAAAGCTCCAGCAGTATATACCAGTGCATCGTGATGACTTCCTATTTCACAGCTTCCTATTGTGTCTACTAAACATTCTGAAAAAGAAAAAAAGAAAAGTGGGAGCTCAGGTAATTTTGAAGACTTTTCTACGCATATTTATCAAGAACACAAGACAACTAAGTTACCCTGGATAAGACATGGGTTTCATTAACATTTTCAGCGGGAGGGCAACTGGTTTTCACAGGCGGGCAAAACTATTTTCAAGAACTGAACTTCTTTACAAGAAAACCTTTACTCTAGATGGTCAAACCCGGCTGGTAAAATCATCCTCACAGCCAGGCAATTTGCCCCATGCCTGGCTCTTAATGAAACCACATGACAAGACCTGAAAAATTTTGTCAGTTGACCACAGATGATGGAGACAGAAAAGATGTTTTTAACATGTAACCTAGAAACCCTCCCCAAATAAAGAAGGAGCAAATCCCTGTCATTCAGTCAACACAGCAAGGTCACGTTTTGAGAAATCCCGTGAATACCTCAGAGTTAGTAATAAGTAGTTTATCTTACTTAAAATGTCCTCTTCAAGGAATAACTGATCATTCTTTTCTGTTTTGGCCACTCTGTACATAACCATACATATGTTGGTTAAATTATTACCAGTCACTTTCATCTGCAACAGAAACAAAAAATATCAAATTTTATTCTACAATGGATGAAATTATACCTCCTACACGTAAAGCTGCTAGGAAAAACCCTGGGATTAAAATTTCCAGAAATGGAAATTCAAAACTTTGTCCATAAACTCAGGCAATCACTTTGAATACTTCAAAACTCCTAGTTATTGCTTTATACTATACAAGCCAGAGTTATCAAATGCCATCTTGGTGTAGGCCTTAAGACAGACATCAACCTTTAACTATAGCACAGAAGAAATACAGAAGTTTAACACTCACCGAAAGAATCAATCTTCCAAGTCTCAGGAGTAATCTTGGATCACTAAGATCCAAAAACTTAAAAACCGTCCGTAAAATCTCTCCTCTTCTTCGAGCAGAAAAACTTCCACTAGCTTTTCCCATTAAACCTTTCTTTTCTAAAGCATTCCACAGTTTCAAGCAATCTTGACAAAGATCCTTTACATTCTTCTCTGCAAATCGTTCCTCCATTTGAGAGAGCAATGGTTTCACATGATCCTCATAATAAGAAACTAGTTCATCCTTGGGTTTATCTTCTTCTGCTTGTGACTTTTTCCGTCTTTTATCTCCACTTCCACCTCTCTCGCCGCCTTTTTTCCTCGTCCTCCCTGAGGTTGGAGAGGTCTCGCTAGCTGTTTGTTCACTCGGGATTCCAGCTGGATCACCACGCTCCAGAGGACCACTCTTGACACGGGTAATAGAATCTACGACTGGGGTACTGCGCTCTTTTGGCCCACTTCTTACTCTCCTTGCACCAACAACATCCCTTGAAACTGCAGGTGGCGCTGGTAAAATTTCTGATGAACTATGCCGAAGAGGTTCACCCACGCTGGGAGGAGTACCAGAAAAAGAGCTACTTTTTGGTGGACAAGGAGGAAGTTCAGCTCTTGCCTCTTTATCTTGTTGCCCAATTACAATATTATGCAGCTTCTGATTGAGTTTTTCAGCATTTAACTCTTCAAAAGGACCTGACAAGGAAGATTTAAGAGGTCTCCTGACTTTCCCTGAAGGCTGCAGAAAAAAAGGTAAAAACCAACTGAGATAAACACAACATACAAAATGTCCATAAATAATAAATAAATATATTACAATATTAAGAGAGGAAGCCACATCAGCCTTAGCTGGTTTTCATGCGGGTTCTCTATCCTGGTCGAATTGGAATTCAGAATGTTGGTTTTTGTGGAGGGAGGAAAACCGGAGAAAAACCCTGGGAGCAAGGCAAGAATCAACAACAAACTCAACCCACATATGGCCAGAATAGAACCCGGGCCACATTGGTGGGAGGTGAGCGCTCTCACCACTGTTCCGTCCCTTCTCCCCATCAAAGATTCCACCATAAAAAAGTATGCAACTATGAACAATCTAACACCCAACAGTCATAAAATACTGAGAGTCTTGTTTACATATACAGTTGTAAGCATGTGGCCATGGTCCAAAAGAAACGAGACGACTAACTCTCCTAAGCAGATATTTATTCAAATCCTAATTTGGGGTCCACTTATAAAAGGTTGAATTACATTTCATGGTGAAGACTTACCACTCCAGAGGGTGGGGAAGGAACAACAGCTTCAGGAATCTGTGGAGCATTTTCAATTGGAGTGAGCCTTCTTCCTGATGGGGGACGGGAAGTTTCACCCTCAGACTGGTAACTACCTAGGCTGTTAGAAAGAAAGACATGGTTTTTACTGTTTGTGTTTTGCTAACATTTACTATCAATCCCAGACATCTACTGAAATGGCTCTCTTTTTTCAGGCTGTTGCATGCTCTGTTGGTTTCATTCACAGATTCAAAAAAAGTGATCACGTCAAAACAAATTTCACAAATCATGATTGAGTGATGAGTGAATCTTTCCTACCATCGGGGAAGGTGCTTCACAGTTTGTTTGCAAGTATGAAACAGTGTGATGCTTGCATGCTAATATCATGTGACATTCAAACTTCATGGGCATTTCTCAGCCAAGGAAGATAGCTGGAATGCCTTAATGTTGGCACAGAATAAATGCAGACAAATTGTTTTGGCTAAATAAATTACTTTATTGTTCATGTTTCAAGCATTTGTAAAATAACAGCAGATAAACAATGTCTCTTAATATGCATATCATAAGATCTTTAAAAATATTTTGCTCAAGAAATGCAAAACTTGGAATAGAGGTAATACCTTATAATAGTTATCTTAGAGGATGGCATGGAAATTGACAAAGATGAGACAATACTGGCTTGTGAGATTGGAACATTTTGCCATTCACTATTCCTCTGTGGATTGGGGACTTCCCCCTCCCCATCCCCCTCAGAAGCGGGGGAGAGGTCTGGGGTTTCAAATGAATGGTTTTGGTTTTGAAAGTAATCTTGCCTTTTAACTTGTGCATATTTTATGTTAGTTTATTTCTTAAGTATCTAAGGGCTAGAACTAATTCATTCACAGCTGTAAACTATATCACAAATTAAAGGTAATTAACCAAATGGCTCATCAAAGTTTGCATCTCGACATCGCAATAAATTCTCATTTTCATCAAATGGTTACAACGGGTTGGCTTTTAAACAAGCTTGTATGTCACAAAAACTTTTTCGACTCGAAACCTCTTTTCCTCTTGAATTCCCAAAGCAGACAAATCAGGTTCTATCTGGAGCCTTAACATTTAACAATTATGAATCCAGATGCTATATTTTGCACCTGTATATAAAGTGGTGCAAATTTCTTTAATGAGCCCTTTCTCTTAGGAATCGAGGACGTTTATATTTACAGTAGTTTTGAGGTCAAGCATGAACCATTAAGGGCATACCACAACCTCAAAAGCCTAAGAACTACTTTTTCCATTTGCAATATTTACAATAAACATAGCAATAATCGAATAAACCAACAATCCACGGCAAACATATACAGCCATCATCAACTGTAAACAGTCGTGAAACATTCGGATGAAGCGCTGTCAAAGACAAAGTTAATTGCATCAAATTTACCTGAATGCAGATGGCGGTCTTCCCTCGTAGGGCTTTACAGAGCTGCGTCCAAATAAGGTTCTGTTAGATTCCACTGGTGTAAAAGGCCTTTTGGTGTCCAAAGGACGGATGGAAGATCTCGCATCCGCGACAATATTTGCACTTGTTGGCCCCTCAGTTGCATAAAACGGCCGGTTGGAAGCCTTCTCGCCTCTGCGCGATTTTTGCGGCCTCGGCGGGTCCATTATTCAAAGGGAAACCTACAGCTACATTCTTTCTTCCATCAGTGGTAGACAAAACAACAACCACACTGCTAATACAACTTTTTTCAGTTGTCATTTGGCGCTTTCTCGGTTACCTCTATCGTTCCTAAGAACGCCTTGATGGCCGAACTCTATGGCCTCGTTTTCGGGCAAATGCCTCGTTTCCGAATTTCTGCGTGTGACGACTTCAAGTCAGCGGTAGAGATTCGAATTTCCAAAATGGCGGGAGTAAGCGGTTCTTTTCGGCAGCTCGAAGACAAGCCGTGTTCTGCGGAAATTCTTTATCAAAGATGGTCGCCAAAGATGGATTTGCTTGCCCTTGTGACAGTCGAAGGTGAGGTTTGGTTGCAGAGGTTGTCTTGGAAGCGAGTGTGGACAATTTCTACCGCCGAAGGTCGAGCTCTTTCAGTGGCATGGAGACCAGACGGGAAGATTTTAGCTGTTGCTTTCAACGATGGTAAAATACAGCTCTTCGACATCGAAAACGCTGAATGTATTCATAAAACAAAAATCGAATCGACGCCCACGTCCATGGATTGGATAGAGGAAGGAAAAGAGAAAGTATCGACTGTTGATCATGAAACGTCTTCGAAAAACTTGCCGTTTTTCGTAGAAAAATCAGAACTTTATCTTCCTTCACTTTCACATCTGCCAAAATCTGCGGGAGCTCTGTTTTCGAAAGAAACTTTACAAGAAGAGTCGGAGGATCCCAAAAAGCTCAAGTGTCTACCCGAGGAGTTAAGCGTGTTGGTTGTCGGTGATGATAGAGGCAAAATACATATGTACCTGTATGGCATTTTCTTGTGTGCCTCACTGAATACTGCGGATGTCTTGCAGCATCATTCTGAATTTCAAGAAGTAACGAGTGCCTATGTGTCGCATGATTTAAAGGTGCTCTCAGCTGTCGTCAAATCACCTGTGATTGAATCAGATAAACAATCTGTGTCATTAGTCTTGTATGACACCGGATTGCTGTCCATGAGGAGACGTGAACTTGCAGTTGTAGCTAAGAAAATGGGCGAGGTCACCTGCCTGATGGATTACTTTGATAACACTTTGCAGTCCATGTCAGACGCTTGGGAGGACATACTCCTTGAGATGGACACAAAGTTGACAGACTTTGCAGCAGAACGACTGACTGCCGGATCAAGTGTCAGTAGTGAATTCCTAACTTTACTCACTCATGGAGTGACAAGTCCTGAGCTACAGTCTTTCCTAATTCATGATCTCACAGAGAAAGGTCTCAAGAAGCTGGGACATAGCATTGAAAATTCTTACACAAGTATTCAAAATCTGGCATTGAAGCACTTGCAGTGTGTCATGCAATCTCTTCTGTTCCATGTGACAGAATTTCATGGAATGTCAAGATGGTATGAACAGTTTGGTGATTTGGGTCTTTCTGAGTTTGACATCCAAACTGTTATCACAAGTCTTGGTTCTGTCATGTTGAAAACACAAGAGCTTGTCCTTGTCATTGAAACAAGCCTCAAGAGCTTCAAAGCATTCTTTCAATGGCTTTATTATGCCATCTTGAGTTTATCTGATGCTGAAATTCCAGACTTTGTGAAACAGAGGAGCCAGCAAGAAGTAATGCTTTTGTCAGGCTTCATTCAAGATCAGCTTGTTGTCAACCAGCAAGGAAAGTTTACCCTGGAGAGAGTCGGTCAATATTTTGACCCCAAGTCACTAACAGTAAAGCCACCATTTGGTAACAATGACTGGACAAAGTTTGTTGAGAGTCACCCAACACTCAGAGCAAGTCCTCTGCTAATACCTAACAAAGCAACTGATTCTTTGCTGACTCTTTCTGAACAACTCCATGAACACATCAAGAAAGCCTTTGCAGAACCAATAAGCTCTTTAAGCAAATCAATCTCTTGCTGGAACTGTTCTCCACTTTGTGAAATCAGCAAGAATGAAGATTCTTTCCATGTAGCGCAAAAATCGACTGGATTTCCTGTGCATCAGCTTGTAGTTTTTCCTGAAGACAGGAGACTGAACCTTGTTTCTATCAGGCCAAATGAGCGCAGGTTATTTCTTGCAAGAATTTGCATTGACAACTTGCCAGGTGACATTGAACAAGTGTTGTACTCTTTCTCTGATGTTATGTTCTATGACTCAGAGTATTTGTCAGTTTTGCTTCAGCAGCACAAAGTAGATGATGGTGGTGATGAAGATGATGTTGATGGTGGGTTGTCAATATTGGCTCAAGTTCCTTATTCATGGCTTGAAGATAAAGACTTTCTAGATGTTGCACAAGTCAAACAAACATACATCAACCAAATATCACAACCTCCACCCATCAGTGTCGGGCCAAGAATTACCCATTTTCGGAAGCTGGTTGGAATGAGGGCAAGTTCTTTGTCTGTGAGTGGAACTCGGAAGGTCTCCTGTGTGTTGTCAGTTTTGCAAAGAAATGTCCGGCTGTTTGATATGGATGCCGAAGATGAGGAGACAGAAGATGAGGAAACTGAGAATGAAGAATTAAACAATTCCTTTGAAGAGGAGCAGTGAACAGATTTCTGACAATTCATGTCTCCCTAGGGAACTAATTTTTGCCGAGCAATTTTCTCAAAGAATAGCAATAACTGAAGAACCTTTGTAGTAAACAAATGTTGGTGCAATGTAGATATTGCCTGAGAAAAATTTAAATCTGCTATGCTGTACTCATAGGCATATGACCCTCCAGTTTCCAAAATTTTATGAAATTTGTCAGGCAAAATACTCATGATTTGGGCAACAGTACTTGGGAGAAAACATTCCAAAAGCCTTCTCAACCTCAATAATAATTCATCAAGTTTAAACAAAGAAAATCACAACTGTGAAGGAGGTTTGGATACCTGGTCTTAATTAGCGTAGATCTTGACAATTTTACTTCCCTGTTTACTCCTTAGTTATTGTATTAAGTTTCTGATTTTACTCAACTGTCAATGGAAGTCAGGTCATAGAGTATGCAGCATTTCAAACTAACTATTTTTGAAATTTCAACATTTTCATCACACATGAGAATTGTGAACATTAATTTTTTGTGTTTTGTTTTTTTTTTGTTTACTGTAGTTTGAGTGCGTTTCTATCCTATCCTGATTTCAACACTCACATATTCAAGCATTGTGTAATTTTTTCAGACAAGAAGGTCACTGGTCGCCAAAGTCCAAAGATGCCTGTGGCCTATGACTGTACTGTGCCAAATTATTTTAATCTTCTAGCAACTGTACTTCTTGTATGTAAATTTAGTTATGATAAAAGTTATAGTATTGCAGAGCACATTATTTAATATAATTTTGGTAAATGTTCAGCAGGAGCTGAATTTTTTATATTTAGCTCTGATTAACAAAGCTGGAGGTCTGTATGGGAGAGTCTTGACCGTGGTTGTGAGTACAGACCGAATGCAGTGAGGTCTGTACACACGACCAAGGTCAAGATTCTCCCATACAGATCGACTTAGCTCGGTTAATAAGATGTTTATTATATGGCAAAGAAGAAAACTTTAATTCATTTAATGTAACTGGTTTGGTGACATCTCGCTTGCAAACAGCGAAGAGCATAACTTAAACCTGCCGAAATTTGCTCGTCCTCTTTACTTTTTTTTTTTGTCATCAGGCATTTTGGCACTTCCATAACTGATTGAGAAGAAAATAAAAGAAAATGGTGAACATTTTTGTATTTTAGTTGGCTACTTTTTCAACGCAAAATGAAACCGGTCTAGATGCCGGTCTAGATGGGAAAATCTAGACCATGGTCAGTATCGATTTCAGCCAATCAAATTCGTGAATTCGGTAGTTCCCAGTCCTCGTGAGACACAGCCATATAATAATACTCTTTAATAATAACAGATTTCACTGAGATAAGTCAGAATATAGCATTTGCTCTTTAACAATAAGGTGTGGGTTTAATTTAAGTTGGTGGGCCTGAACTGAATACATGTACATGTATACACCCCTGTATTTATTCTTAGTCAACATTGTGATGGAGATAGATTAATAAAAAGGCTCAATAAACTAAAATAAAAGTTTGCTGCGTTCTCAAATCACTCAAGTGAGATAAGCATACATTTGCCTTAATCTTATAGGTCCTGACGTTTAGGATATTTTTTTAAGTTCATCTTGCAGTTAATCATTGATATCTTTTAACTTCTTTCCAGCCTCCCGTGCAGTTGTTATTTGGGAAAAAATTAACGCCCGGGCGGAGTGTGGGAGTATTCAGCGGACACACGTTTATGTAAAAATACGTTGTGTAAGTGATCCCGTAAAATTAAAGGACATTTCCCATGCACATACGTAATGAGACATACTTTTCCCGCGTAAAATGTAAATATGGCGGACAAAGTGGAAGAGGAATATTTCCGTCTGCATTTGCATGATTATAGAAAGGAAAATTGCTTTGTCTTTGTTTTTTTTTT